CCTCCAAACCCCTAAATCCCTAAACTTAAACCCTAAACCCCTAAACCCCTCAACCCTAAACCCCTAAACCCCTCAACCCTAAACCCCTAAACCCCTAAGCCCCAAACCCCAAAGCCCCTAGAACCCCTAAAAACCCCTAAAAACCCCTAAACCCCTAAAACCCCTAAAACCCCTGAACCCCTGAACCCCTGAACCCCTAAACCCCTAAAACCCCTGAACCCCTGAACCCCTCAACCCCTAAACCCCTAAAACCTAAACCTCCAAACCCCTAAACCCTAAATGCCTAAACCCCTAAGCCCCAAACCTCCAAACCCCTAAAACCCCTAAACCTCTAAGCCCCAAACCCCCAAAACCCTAAAACCCCTAAACCCCAAAGCCCCAAACCCCTAAACCCCCAAAGCCCGAAACCCCTATACCCCTAAGCCCCTAAACCCCTAAAACCCCTAAACCCCTAAACCTCAAAGCCCCAAACCCCAAAGCCCCTAAAACCCCTATAAGCCCTAAAAGGGCCTGTGTCCGGGCAGCCAAGGAGATGGCGGTAGCCCCGTTGGCTGCCGGCTGCTGGACGTGAGCTCCGGCCGAGAGAAGCTGCCTCGGAGCACTTAGGGTTTGGGGTTTGGGGGTTTAGGGCTTAGGGTTTAGGGGTTTGCAGGTTTGGGGTTTAGGGTTTAGGGTTTAGGGGTTTAGGTTGAGGGGTTAAGAGGTTGAGGGGTTTAGGGTTGAGGGGTTGAGGGGTTTAGGGCTTAGGGGTTTAGGGTTGAGGGGTTTAGGGGTTAAGGGGTTTAGGGGTTAGGGTGTAGGGTTTAGGGTTTAGGGTTTGGGGTTTAGGACTTAGGGTTTATGGCTTAGGGTTCAGGCTTACAGGGCTTACCTATTTGGGTTTAGGGTTTAGGGCTTAGGGTTGAGGGTTTAGGGTTCAGGATTTTGGGTTCAGGTTCGGGGCATATCTGGCTTCAGGGCTTAGGGTTCACATATTATTTGGGTTCAGGGTTTAGGGCTTACATATTTTGGGTTCAGGGCTTAGGATTTAGGGCTTAAGATGTGCCTCAACACACGAGAAGTGCCAACTTGAGAGGCAGAGAGAGAAGAGGAAAAGAAAACCCTAAACCCTAAACCCTAAACCCCAAAGCCTAAACCCTAAAGCCGAGAGCGGGGAGCTCTCTTAGTCTACAACCGAACTGGCATCCTGCACTCATTGCTACAAGAGACATACTTGGAGGCTCATGTGTAGATACAAGTGGAGTTATAAGTTATAAGTCCCCGAATATGGGTTATAATTTTCGTTACCCTACTTACAGCCCCACTTACAAGTACTCATGAACCGCCAAGTATGTACCATTTGGCCAGTATGAAGTGGAACCGAAGGTTAACCTTTGGAATTATATAGGGATCATAGTACCCCAAGAAAGGTTCAGGGCTGCCTACTCTACTCGTAAGCAGAAGAAGCGCGGCTAAAGACCTATGTACCTACTTTTAGGGTTTAGGGTCTTGCCCAGTCTGAAGTGGAACTGAAGGTTAACCTTTGGAATTATATAGAGATCATAGTACCCCCAAGAAAGGTTAAAGGCTACCTACTCTACGAGTAAGCAGAAGAAGCGTGGCGAATGCGAACCAAGCAGCTCCACAATGCCGCGATGCCCCTCTTGCACGGCCAGCATCCTCGGCACGGTTTAGGGTTTAGGGTTTAGGGTTTAGGGTTTTTGAGGGTCGCAAAGGCCGTGGCACAACATCATGACGAAAGCGAAGCCTACCTGTAGTCTCCATTGTAGTTCCTTTTTGGGGATACCTTATAAATTCTTTAATATATAATTGGATAAACCAAAAAAAGGAACTACAATGGAGACTATAGGTAGCACCGAACCCTAAAACCCTAAAGCCATAAAACCCCAAGACCCTAAAACCCAAAAGCCCAAAACCCAAACCCCGAAATCCCAAAAGACTCCAACTGCTGATCCCCGCCAGGCAGCAAAACGGTGCCGCCGTCTTCTCGTGCCTGGTTGACGTCAGCGCCTGCTCCCTTGCCATGCTGGCACTCGAAATCATATAGGGGGCCTTATAATTAGAATAGGCTTCCTTTAAAAGGGGTAGTAGAAGGGCTACTATAAGGGGTTCTATAAGAAGGGGCCTTAATAATTAGGATAGGGTTTGGGGGTATATTATACAATGGTTATGATAAGGAACCCCCCCAATGGGCTTCAGGTTCGGGCAGTCTAAACACCTCCTCGCAGGAGAGGGCTCAGGAACGGCGGTCGGCGATCTGTTCAGAAAAGTAGGCATCGAGTGCCATATACTTATATACATAATTATAACACATGCATATAAATACATCTGAAAAACATATAGTATATATATAGATGTCTATATGTATACATATATATATATATATGTATATATATATATATCTCTCTCTCTCTCTCTCTCTCTTTGTATGATATGGTCACGCAGGCATCTGCAGACTTGCTTTTGTTGCGTGGCAAAGGCTGTCACAGAACCAACGTTTTCAGGGCTCCAAACGAAGCCAAAGGCTCAGGATCAGCTCAAGCTTCCAATCGCTTAAACACGGATAAATGGGCAGTATACCTGCAGCACAACCAAAGAACGTAAACGAATGACATATTCGCGCACATTGAAACTCTAGCATCGCGTTGTTCAGGACCTTCAATTCTGCGCTCCCTGGTACAGGCCCAAATCCATCGCCACCACTACATCGACGATCTACCGCGACCACGAAAGCAACAACCACAATCCACAAGCACACGACCAGGACCAAGATCACGACTGCAGTGCCACGACCAGTACCTCTACCACTGCCACCTTGACGACGACGACGACGACTGCGACTACGACGACGACTACTACTACTGCTACTTGACGACGACGACGACGACGACGACGACTGCGACTACGACGACGACTACTACTACTGCTACTACTTCTAGCACCACCACATGCGAAAGTCGCAAAAAACAAAAGGCAAAGCCGGTGCGTCAGGACACGAGCAGTGCGGCGACTGTCGTTCCATGTCCCGCCTCGGCGTATACAAGACACATCGTGTAAGGCTTAGGGTTTACAGGATTTAGGGTTTAGGCGACTCAGGGCCGTAGAAGGTCTTGCCGTGCAGGCATTGTGGCTTCTTGGCTAGTTCCAGTTTTTGGTTCAGGAGCTCAACCTTTTCACAGATTTTGGGATTCGGGTTTCCACATTCGGGTTCCGGAACACCCCCCAAAGCGGCAACCAAGGAATTCATCAAACTCCCAAGCATCAGCGTTTGCCTGCAGGTGGAAACCAGGAATCCTCACGAAACCCTAAGCCCGAATCTGAAAAATAAGCCCTAAACCCCATAAACCCTAGGCCCTAAATCGTTTCCGCAAAACAAGCATCAAAAAAGGCGCAATCAGCTCCGATGAGTTTTGAGGACAGCGCCCATTAGAAAGCTGCCTACATGAAGGAACCCCGTCTGTATGTATGTATGTATGTATGTATGTATGTATGTATGTATGTATGTATGTATGTATAAATGTATATGTATGTATGTATGTATGTATGTATGTATGTATGTATGTATGTCTGTCTGTATATATGTATGTATGACCGAATGTTATCCGCCTCCTTTTGTATACCCTCAAAGCCGCTGGACAGAACACGGAAAGCTCAATCTCAAAAACTCCTTTCGAACCCTGAAGGGAAGTCCCAAACCCAAAACACCACTATGACGAAACTTAAACTCCGAATCGAAGTCCCAAACCCCAACTGACTCACTAACACCCATGAAGAACAATCAAAAACACCCTGACCCCCAAACCCTAAACCCAAACCTAGAAGCCTATGAGCAGCCAAAGTCCTTCGAAATAAGACCTAAGGACCTCTCTAAGGGTCCCTTTAAGTTTTTACTTGTTTCTGTGTTTTTTAAGGCTTTCGGGGTCCCTTTAAGGGTTTCTTTAAAGAGTTCCTTTATGGGGTTCTTTTTTGGGTTCCTTTATGGCGTTCCTGTTCGAGTTCCTCTAATCCATTTGAGCCGCTTGCGCGGCGACCATCAGGGCGCTGGAGCCCTGCCGTGCCAAGTCCACAGAGGCCCCAGCATCCAGCAAAAGAGGAACCAATGCCTTGGAGATCTGATATTCCTATACTACTCCTACTACTGACTAGTACTACTGACAACAACAACCACAACAATAATAACAGTAACAGCAACAACAACAACTACTACTACTGCTGCTGCTACTACTACTACTACTACTACTACTACTACTGCTACTACTGCTACTGCTACTACTGCTACTCTGCTACTACTCAGAATAATATCGGAAAACACCAAGACTACTCACAACAATAATTATCATCATCATAATGACGAATAATAACAATCATTAATATCATGATATGATGAAGAATATGATTTTTTTGGAAAATATATTAGTTTCATACTGATCGATAAGGTGGTGGCAGAATACTGCCGTTGGTGGACGGGGCCCCTCGTGTGCTGGAAATGGTGGAGGTGGATGAGGCCATGATGTGAGCAGACCCGGATGCCTACCGGTCGAGTTGGGCACTTAGTGTAGGGGCGTTAATAGTTAGAATAGGGTTTTGGGGCCCGTTATACTGTAATTCTGATAAGAAACCCCCAAAATAGTATAGGTAATTATCTAAGCCCCTACATTCGTTGCTTGTTTTTGTGCGTTGTTGCTGACACTTTAAGCCTTCGCGCTGGAGGTGTCGCCAATTTGTCAGGTGAGGCATGTGTCTTCGGCGGTTCAGGTTTTGGGTTGAGGGTTTAGGGCTTCACTGACTCACTCACTCACTCACTCATGATATCATCTGGGTACCCTCGCCAAGAAAGGTCGGCCTTTGCTATTATGGCAGGATGGTAGAAATCCCAAAAGGTGAAAAGTTACCTACCCAGCCACTAAGTCATAACGCATGAACTTTTAAATTACAGGCTTCAGGGCTCTCGGACTTGCCTCTTTGGGAGTTGCACGGACGGACCGGCTGCAAACTATCGGGGCAACGTGCATGGTAGTGGCTTCGGACTCGTGTTGTCGGCAAGACCCGGTGCAGGGATTACTGCTCTGAAATCTGACAGAAATTAAATAATCCACTTCGCTGCCACTTCTGAAGTGCACGTAAGGAATGTTCTGCAGTTGGTCGGGGCGGCTCCCGCCAAGTTCTATCTTCAGACAAGCTTCCTCGTGCCCTTCTTGAGAAGCAAGAATCAGAGCTGTAGAGCCATCCCTATCTCTCTTGTCCACCTGTCCGCGACGTGTTGCATCCAATTTGAGATCTTGCTCCAAGGTTTTGAGGGACTCGAGCCTTTGATCCTACATCTCACCTCTGCGGAATCTTGCATCTCGTCTGAAAGTTGCGATAATGTCCTTGTCCTTTCGAAACTGCAGGGGAAGGGTCACTGCTGCTCAGAAGTGCCCAGCTCTCATCTCTGCAGATGCACCCGTTTCTGTGTTTCAATCTTTTCAACTGTCACGAACACGATAAACCTGGTTGAGGGCTGGATGTCAGGGTCATGCTTATTGACAATTTGACATAATTCAGGCTTTTGCTTGCAACCCACCGTCCATCGATGCATGCCAACTACATGGATGCGTGTTGAGTACCACAGGTTCATTTTCCTTCCCGGCCCTATACTCTATACTCTATACAGCCTCAACCGAGGTTTTCGGCCTTCCCACCTCGGCACCAGCTTGCAGCAAGGCCAAGACAGACTCCATGTCACCTCCAGCGAGTTTGCAGTCCGAACTCAGAGGGGACATCCACAAGGCTGGGACCTCCTGACACTGCCTGACACCCGCATGGAGCAAGCCCACCGATGCTACAAGGGCTCAGCAACGTTGCTCACGACAGGGTCCGCGATGGCATTATGCCCGCAGCTCATACACATCTCAGTACGAAACCATATTTACTGCCTACCCTAAATCCCCTCAACCCCCCTAAACCCTCAACCCTAAACCCTAAACCCCCCTTGAGGACTGAGGAAGCCACCGAGTTGAGCAGCAAGCATGAGACAGGAGGCGCCATTCACGAGGACCTCACTGTAATTTCAGGCCAGGGGCAGTCTTACCTCCAGCGGTCTGTTGTGCCGAACAGCTCCACATGGCAATATTGCCAGATGGCAGGCTTCTGCTTATACGCTTGCTAGCGAGAGTCTGCGTTCTCTACTTAGGTCGTGCACCGACTGCATGGCCTACCTCCTGTCGCAAGATGTGGTGGAGCAGCACGAACAGCAGCATAATCTAAGGGCCTTAACAATTAGAATACGGTTTTGGGGTCCTTTATTGTATAAGTATAATAAGGAACCCCCCCCCAAAAAAAAAGTAGTATAGGTAATTATTAATAAGGCCCTTATGTTACGTACATTCGAGAACAGCCTTGATCCATGCACCCAATACGTCTATTCCCATCGTTTGAAGCACCAAAGGCTCTACACACCCAATCGAGAACATCCCCATGCCGGGGTACGTGATCTGCATCCGCCCCAGCCTCCAGCAGACAGCGCACCACCTTGCACTTCCGAGGATCTGTCGGCTAGCTTTCCCTAACCCTCCAGGTACCTACCATATAGGGCCCTAGGGGNNACCCTATACAGTAGGTACCTGGGGGGCTAGGCTTTCCCAGCGCGAGTGTGAATTGCAATCGTCGCCAGAAAAGGCGGCCCTACCAGAACACTAAACCCTAATCCCTAAGAGTGTCACATGGCGTGACCGACCCGGCAGATCCAGAAGGCTCACAGAGCCAGCTGAGACGGTTCGTAATCTTCACGGGACTTGCTGTCCCATGGGGATTTGTAGCAGTGCTCTTGGGTAAACAAGCTTGAGGTGGAGCGCAAATCACTGCCGCACATGGCCACAACCGATCCTTTCGTATTGAAACCATCATACCAAATGACCGAAGAACCATTCCTAATGCTTGTCAACGCCGGTAAAAGGGTGCCTCGTGGTGTCCGTCCTGTGGCCGGCTGCGGAAACGAATTCCGGACTATCCAGGGGAGCATACTTCCGGTTCAGTCAGAGCTTTACAAGCATTGTTGGATAGTAGCATGACAGGCAGGTTGAGGTGCTGTGAGTTGAAGCGAAGCGCATGACGGCAGTGTGCAAATCCAAGTATGACATCAAAACAGCATCCCTGTGTGCTTGCATCCAGGAAGATTCTGAAGAAACAGCTGAATAGAAACAGCAGCAGCACAACATGCAGCACAGCTCTGCTGGAACTCCGGGGGGGGGGGGGGGGAGCAACGCGGCACTCCTATCATGAGCTGGTGAGGAGAGCCGTTGCAGGTCTGGTCACGGATGGTTAATAGTCCTGTTCGGTGTCGTCGTCATCATCGTTGTCGTCATCATGCTCCTTGCACCTTCGGTCCTAATTAGTCGTTGTGCTCTTGTCGTAATCTCCTCATCGTCTCTGGCGACGTCGATCGTACATCTCTATCGGCTTATGGGGAGTGATTCCAAAAGCGCTCGAGGCAGTGGCAGTGTCCTGCACTGCCGCAAACAGAGGTGTCGATCCCATCGCACCGACCTGGAGCGGCTTTAGGGTTATAGGGTTTAGGGGTTTAGGTTTGGGTCTTGGGGGTTTAATGGCATAAGGCCGTTTAGGGTTTGTCGGTTTAGGGCCGGCAAGGGCGCGCAGACGGGCACTCAACGGTTTCGACCATCACGACGGATGCAAAGGCCTCCTAGGTTGCCATGGGCTTGTGTCTCATGCTGCATATTGCGCTTGAAACAGGAAGTATCATGTACAGGATATGGGGCAATTGATTTGCCTGGTCCCGCCTAAATCCTCAACCCTAAACCCCTGTCGCACTGCCATGATAGTGAAGGCAAGTCGCGTGGTTCACGTCAGCTTTGGCCTTGCGGTAAGCGGGCATCATGCACAAACTATTGTTTTACGGCTGTAGCCTTTGGATCCCAGAGTGACAACAGCATCTCTACAGAACGGCCAGGTGCCACGTGCCATGAATTGGGGGCCTGTGACTCACAGACTGCCCCTCCTAGATGATCCGAGGCAGTCACAGCTACTTGGGGGCATAAGAAGCAAAAACCATTTGCGGCCAGGACTTGTGAAACCTGTAAACCACGCATTCTGACCCTTAAAACAACTGTGGGCACCGAGTGCTGATTCCTTTGCAAGCGCCAATCAAAAAGAAGCGACAGGAGTCATAATATACTACAATCTACTACAATCTACTATAATATACTATAATATACTATAATATACTATAATATACTATAATATACTATAACATACTATAATATACTTTAATATACTATACTAGTAGAATAGCTGAAAAGGAAACCCTACAACCACCCTCGGCCCCAAAAGTCTGAAGACCCCAACCCCATGAACCCAAGACTCTCTATGACTTGTTAGCCTACAGACCCTGTAGGTTTGGGGTTTAGGGGGTTTAGGGTTTAGGGTTTAGGGTTAGGTCCTACTTCAAGAAATCAACCCAGAGAGCCCAATTACCCCTCAACTTACGGAATATACTTGAAATCATAAAAGTAAGGCCCCTATATCAATTAAGGTGCATTCCTTTTTTGAAGGGATATTGGGGTTCTCTAAAAAGCCTTTAGGGTCTATAGGGTTTAGTTTTGTCCAGCGAATCGATGCTAGTAAGACCCCTATAATCTAAGATCTGTTCCTTTTTTAAAGGGGTATAGGGTTCTCTAAAAAGCCTTCAGGGCCTCTAGGATTTAGTCCAGCCCACCCACCCCTTTTTGTAAAGGGGTATTTTGGGTTCTCTAAGAAGCCCGTATAGGGCCTCTAGGGTTTAGTCCAGCCCACCCACCCCTTTGTTTTAAGGGGTTATGGGGTTCTCTGGGAAGCCTTTAGGGCCTATAGGGTTCACTAAGAAGCCTTTAGGGCCTATAGGGTTCACTAAGAAGCCTTTAGGGCCTATAGGGTTTAGTTTCGTCCAGCGCATCCGCGGGGGGGCCTCCAGTAGCCGACTCGCCGACTCGAGCTGGCCGCCCTCGGCGGCCGCCACCAGCGCAGTGGCACCCGCCTCAAAGCTCTGCTCGTGATGAAGGGGTTTAGGGTTTAGGGTCTAGGGTCTAGGGTCTAGTAGGGTTTGGGGTTTAGGTTTTAGGGGGAAAACAGAGAGCACAATACTCCTTAATTAAGGAATAGACCTTAAACTCAAAGAACCTTAATATTGTGATTTAAGGTATACTCCTTAATTAAGGGTCTGAGAATTTCAACAGTAAGCTGATCAGATGTAGAGCGAAAAAGGCTCTAAAAACAGAAGTAATTACGTAATCGCAAAAAGCCTGTATATGTCTGCGTGTATATATGTATATACACACAGCTCTCTCTCTCTCTCTATATATATATATACGTATATGTATGCATATATACACATGTCTGTGCACATGTAGAATGTGTATATTGGTTGGGTTTGCGTGTATGTCGAATGTTTATTCATCGATGAACTGAGTCTGGTCTTCCTGCAAAACTGTATACAACACGTGCACCAATACGTAGTACAACCGCAGTTTCGAACACAACTCACCATCTTGCTAGTGAAGAAATAGAAACTGGCACTTGGCTTCAGGATCTGGAGCCTATCTGTCCAAGGGTTTAGGGTTTAGGGTTTAAGGGTTTAGGGTTTAGGGGTTTCTGTCCATCTGTCCATGTAGACAAACAAACCGATCATCTTCATGCCAGGATCTGTTGTTACACAACACAGATCGACGGCTATCTTCTTCAAGCCCGCGCCCTGTCTCTTGAATTGTTCATCCGAACGCCTAAATCCTAAACCCTAAACCCCTAAACTCTCTACAGCGTGGAACCCTCTCAGCCCTGATTTGATAAAGCCCAAATCCTGAACCCTTTATGGCCCTGCTTCGACAAGCGAAAGATGATTGCTATACCATACTGCTCATGATGTAAATCCTGCATTACCTTCAGGACCCTAAACTATGGGAATTATGGTATATTCCTTCTTATGGGTAATGCAGGATTTATATCATCAGCCGTAGTATCGTATATTGCACTATAGCGTATTCGAATATGTAATAGATTGCTATACATTGTGGCATTTTAGTGTATAACCCTAAACCCTAAACCCTAAACCACTAAACCTCAACCCCTAAACCCTAAACCCCTAAACCCCTAAACCCCTAACCCCTAAACCCTAAACCCCTAAACCCCTAAACCCCTAAACCCCTAAACCCCGGAAACCCTAACCCTAAACCCCTAAACCCCTAAACCCCTAAACCCTAAACCCTACAGACTTTCCAAGGCGCCGCGTTCTCTGCCTCCAGGTTGCAGCTGGCATCGATCAGCCTCAGAAGAAGCCAGCTCGACTTATGCGTTTTAGGGTTTAGGGTTTAGGGTTTAGGCTTACTCAGAGAGCCCAATACTCCTTAACTAAGGAATATACCTCAAATCATACTATTGAGGCTCCTATAATTTAAGGTATATTCCTTATTTAAGGGGTATTGGGTTCTCTGGGTAGGGGTTTAACGTAGGGGCCTTCATGATAAGAATAGGGTTTTTGGGGGCTCCCTATTTATAATTATGGTATAATAGACCCCAAAACCGAATTCAAAGAATTAAGGCCCCTACATCCTATACCCTTATAGTAGCCCTTATGGAACCCTCTAAGGAACCCGTAAAAAGGAGCCTATATTCAGGGAGTTCAAGGGCTAGGGAGTTTTCGGACCCCAAGGTCGGTCGAGGGTCTCAACTCGTCCGGCCTAAGGGATGGCTGCAGTAGTTTCGCGAGGCCCTACGCCCTAAAGCCTATCAGCCCTAAACGCTGGGTTTAGGGTTTAGGGTGTATAGGGTTTAGGGTTTAGGGTTTAGGGTTTTGGTAAGCCCTAAACCCTATAAGCCCTAAACCCTAAGCCCTAAAGCCTATGAGCCCTAAACCCTAAACAATAAACCCTAAACCCAAAGCCCTAAACCCTATGAACCCTAAACCCTATAAGCCTATAAACCCCAGACCAAAAGCCCCAAATCTAGGCACATCCAAGTGGATCTATCGCGCATAAGTCAGCAACAGGAAAGCACATCAAATATTGCAACATGAAGCTCAACTTCCTGACCTGCGCATGGAAAGGAAGCAGTTTTCTGGGGAATTCGTGGGTAGTTCTCTAAATGAGGGTCCCTTTTTAGGTCCCCATTAGCGTACGGCGCCCTTATAAAAAAGGACCCTAAAAGTCTAAAAAGGACCCTAATTTAGAGAACTCCCGTCGTGGAGAACCAAGTGCAGTCTGTGTCGCAGTGATAGGATGCCTTCCTTGCCCAAGTGCGCAGCGACCATTGGCGCTGTCACACCATTCCTCAACCCAGTCGTTTTAGGTTTTAAGCATATTGTAGGGGAAAAATTATTTTTTCCCCTATAATATGTTCATTCCTCAACCCAGTCGTTTCAGGTACTATATAGCCCGAGGGGCTCTGGTACCCTATATAGCAGGTACCTGGGGGTTTAGGGAGTCGTTTTAGGTTTTACGGTTCAAGGGTTTAGGGTTTAGAGTTCAGGCTTTCACACCATTCCTCAACCAAGCTATGTTCAGAAATTTGCGTCCGCTTCAGAGACCTTATTATTATGTCCTTGCTGCACTGCTGATTTCTCGGACGCTGCGGCATCAATCTGCAAAGTGATGATGTTTCCGACTTCATTCGGATGCCCAGGTTTCATCCAACAGATTTGTTTGCATGGTCAGTCTGTTATCAACGACCTTGCGGGGAGATTCCCTTGTGTTGCACCTACTAGCATCAGTATTCGTTCTAGTGTTCATCAGTATTAGGCTTAGCATTAGCGTTTGCATTCGCACCAGTATTCGCAGCAGGTATTTGAGGGTTTGTGAGCGCCTTTTTTCTGCTAGAGGCCGCGAAGGGCACATCACAGGGCCAAATGATGCATTGGCAATTGCTCAGGTATCTGAATGGCTCCTGTTGAAGCTATTCGAAACAGAAACAGGAGCTGAAAGATTCTTGTAAGTAAGCCAAGGCTTCGAGAGTAACGAAGGGCATTAGAAGGCTAATAGCTTTCAATTGTGCTTATAAAGTACTATATTTGTCCATCGAAAACTGCGATTAGCAAGCATGTGCCAAGTCGAGAAGGTGGGGGCCACCAGGCGAAACAAACTTCTGTGAAGGACGGCTCAATGCATTCCGGCTGCGCGTTGGCCAGATCCACCGATGCCTACCGCTGGGCGTTTCCAAATCACTTCTCTGTTGAAATGGGCGCCTAGTAGCAGCATTTCTGCATGTCTGAGCAGGCCATGAAGTGAGGACGTACAGCTGCTTCCGTCCTTCAGACCTCTTCAGCTCCCACAAACTCCAAGGGCAGTAATGTGTACAAGCTAGGGAAATAAGCTCAGCGAATTCCCCTGGAGTGCCAGCCTTCGCCTGCAACAGGGCTTCCACTAAATCGCGGTCGCCATGCAGTGTGGCAGCAACGAGTGCCTCGGACTGCGGTAGCAAGCACATCTGCATGGACATTCCCTCTGAATCAAGGGCACATATGCCGGAGGGCCCTGACCGTAAATTGCGAACAGCAAATCTCTAAATTACGAAACCCAATCCTATGGCCCTAAACCCTCCATAAATCCTATACCCAATCTTGCGGTTACGATTGAAACGCTGCCACAATAAATTATGGCAGTGCCTCCTCTTCGGGCTTCGGCTTGGGCTTACAACGCGATGCACTGCAGATAACAATGTAAAACAGTGTAAGAGTGTTAGTACATTAGTTTTAATGGTATAATCGTATATTGGTATAATGGTAGAATAGTATAGTAGTATACTTGCACAATGGTATAACGTACATTATAAAAGTAAGATATGTTATAACAGCATAGTAGTATCATAGAAGAAAAATGCTTAATAACAGACTAGTACAATGGTTTTATAGCGTTTTAAAAGTATAACACAATCCCATGATCTTTGGGCTCCAGCCGCCGCCAAAGTGCCGTCTGTCCTTTCTCATCAGGATCGTTGGGGTTTTCTCCTGGAGCAAGTATCCTAGCCATGAGCGCACTTGGAAATTGTGGGTGTACATTAAGCCGGGTCTACCCATAGACCCCATAGTAGTTCCTTTTCGGGATTACCTAATAGGATCCTAAATATAAGCCACAAAAAGGAACTACTATGGGGCCTATTGGTAGTTCTGTCAAACGTGGGTAGTTCTCAAAATTAGGGTCCCCTTTTGGGTCCCCAATATAGTACGGCGCCCTTGTAGAAAGGACCCTAAAAAGAGAACCTAATTTGGACAACCACCCATGTGGCAAGTGCATCTCACCGGCTGCAAGTACACAGTAGATGCAGAGGCCTGCCGCGAGCAGCTGGGCTGCGGCGTCGGCCTCAGTTGGGGTTTAACGCCTCAATTAAAACAGTCTACTAAACCCCAAACTCTAAACCTAAACCCCAAACCCTAAACCTAAACCCTGAACCCTAAACCCAAACCCTAAACCCAAACCTAAACCCTAAACCCTAAACCTAAACCCTAAACCCAAAGCCCAAAACACTACCCAGATTCCCAGAAAAGTTGAGACATAGTGCCGGGATTCCAGGGCAAGGGTCGGGCTGGTAACAAACTTCGACCCCAGTGCCGGAGTTGAGAGGGTTTAGGGTTTAGGGTTTAGGGTTTAGGGTTAGGGTTTAGGGTTTAGGGTTTAGGGTTTAGGGTACTTGGGTGATTTGGCGGTTTCCAAAAATAGGGGACCCTAATCAAATAGTAGCATCCTTATTATAAGGACCCCAAAATAAGGTAACCCCCTTATTGTCGGAAAGTCCCATTGGGGGTTTAAGGTGTTGAAAAGCTTGCGTGTTCGATCCTTCACAAGGAGGGATCTGATGATCAGATTTCGAATCTTGGGTTTAGGGTTTAGGGTCGAATCTTGGGGTGCACCTGCCTCGCAAACAGTAGGCGAGCAGCACAGATAGCTGTACTACATACCGGCAAAGCCCAGGACATTCAACAACATCTTCGAAGGCCGGCCCCATTAAATCCTCAGCTTCGCCAGCAGTTGCTTTCCCGGCCACAACGTGCATCAACCTACACAGAACACCTAACAGATGCTGACATTTCAACTTGGCATCATGCATCTTGCAATCCGAAAAAGTCATCCGTCGAGCATGTCACCGGCAGTGTGAACTGCCTGCTTCTGCGAGACCTGAAACCTCAAACCTCACAACTTCCGATTCCAAAGCCTTCCTGACACCATGGGGTTTTAGATTTAGGGTTGCGATGGTCAGCTGGATCTTATCAACTAAATGTGAGCCGTCAATACCGGAAAACTAGCCCTGGACATTCCAATGTGTTCAATCTCAGCTGCTTGTCCCGCTGACACGGCCGCCACCAAGGGCGCATCCACACGATGCGCATGCAGCTGCCCCCTCAACAGTTCTTTGTGTCAGAACCCCGATTTGGAAGGAAGGGTTTAGGGTTTAGGGTTTTGGCTTGGCGCGACGGGGCTGAAGTTTGGCACAAAGCCTTGACTAGAGCTAAGTAACATCCATCCAGTGCTACAAAATGCTCTGCGGCGCCTTTTCCTGTGCCTGGCTGCTGCAAAAGTGCCTCAAGGCCCCAAGACCCCCCGACGCAAAACCTAAGATCCCAAACCTTCAAGGTATATAAACCCTAAAAGCCCCCAAATTTCAGAGAAGCAAAACCCT